TCTTCATAACCATACCAATTGTTCTCTTGCCAATAAGTATCTTGCAATGGATAGGCATACCATTATTAATATTCATTACATGTGTATCGTTGAGTATAGTCCTTTTGCTTTTGAGCATATTGTGGTAAATCAGCATATTCATATTGATAGTCTAAATGTGTGTATATACTGTAGCTAATACTGGCAACTAAACATCATGACAAATTTTTTCTTTTTTTATTTTCTTCTTTCTTATTCCTTTTCCTTTTTTTTCTTTTATTTTTGGAATACAAAAGTTTAGATCAATAAAAAAATGAAAAATTACTTAAAATGCTGCAACTATATGAAGAAATTGCAAACCTCCAAGATCCAACTGTGAGCAAACTTGTAGAAGTGATGAAGGCACTCTAATTAGTAACATTGAACAGTGAGTTCAGTATACCTTATTTGAACTTTTAAATTTTAATGAAAAAGTTGTATTTTCTTAGTGAGATTGACAATAAAAGTGTGATGGGAACCTAACTCTGATACCAAATTAATATAAAACAAGAAGGGGAGAAGGGGAAAAGAGATAAAGAGAAAGAAGGGGGTGAGAGAAAGAAGAAGGAGGAAAATGAGAGTTCTTAAAAATTCTATTCAATAATATTCAAAGTTAAATGTAAATGAAAACCTAACTCTATTTATAGAGTTTTAAAAGAATAATAAGATGATGAATGTATATCTAAATCCTAAATCTAATTTAAAAAAATATTCATATTTAAGATAATAATAAAATAAATAATCAAAACTAATTTTAATGGATTAATATTCTTATTTAAATATTTCTATTGGATAATCTTAATATCCTAAACTAAGCTTAATTATATTTTATCCCATATTACACTGCTTTTTAACCAAAGTATTTGAAATTTAATTAAACTTATTGTTTGCATCCAAATTGTGAATTTGGAGGCCCAATCTCAATTCAACTTACTTGTCTTTAAAATAATTAAAAGAACATATTTATAAAGTTTTAGCTACTAAGTCAAGACCATCCACACTCTACCCATGATGAGTAACCACAATGGAGGAAGTGGTTCATAAATTCAAGAAAACTGATGATCATGGGGTTTGGTTACCAAGTTAGAATCATCTATAAATAAAGGAGCTCTCTTTTAACAAAAATTATCATCAGCATCAACAAACTGTCAGTCAAATTTTCAAACTTCACGTCTATTACTTTATTTATTTTTTGTTTTATTATATAATTTTAGTCTTTATTTTTTGTTATACGGCCAGCATAGCCCTACCACCTCTTTCTTTAATTAATATATCTTTGCTTTTCTACATTTAAATTAATTTTCTCCACATCACATTCTTGCATCCAAGTGAATTGTGGTAAGGGAACTTGGGTTCCCCGTGTTTGATTAAAAGTCCAGTTCTTTCATCCTTTTGAGACCTTATGTCTTTGACACGTATTGCGAAACCCCCTTTTTATTTTTGCCAAACACTTATTTTAATAAACTTCTTGTTTCAAATCAAGCTCAATTTTAAAAGACATATTTTAAAAAGTTAAAAATTTGTTCAACACCCAAATTCTCTTGGATGTAACCATCTGATCTAACATTGATAAGGGCATTCATGTTAAGCCTTCAAGTGCAGTACACTTTGGCACAAGCCACCACACTTCAATGAGTATGCCAAGAGCTCTCAAATGCTTTAATTCTAGCTAGAATCTCTTTGAGAAGTTCTTGTTGCATGTTGGCCCAGAAGTTAAAAGAAGTTAAAAGTAATAATTTTTTTTATAAATAAAAAAAGTTCCTGTTGCATGTTGGCCCAGAAGTTAAAAGAAGTTAAAAGTGATAATTTTTTTTATAAATAAAAACAGAGGGAGTACTTCCAATTTCTTAAAATGAAAAAAAAAAAGATAGTTTCTAAAGGAAATCTAATTAACATTTGATTCAAATTTCAAATTAATCAGACGAGGGCTCTGGTAAGAAGGAGGTGAGGTAAAAAGAAGAAAGGAGAGGAGGTGTTGCTGGCATTGGTAGTGGCATACAATAAATTCATTAAATATTTGAGATTTACAAATGAATGAACAAGAGTTAGGTTCGAAATACTGAATGAATATCAATTAAATTTTCAATAATTTTTTAAAAAATAAATTAAAAATATCAATTTAAATTATTATAAATTCAAGAGTTTCGATTACAAATAAATATTTAAATATTAAATATAATTTTTAAATTATAATAAAAAATTTGTTTGTAATCATTTACATTGATATTTATAATTTATTATGTAAAAATATTTATTAAAAAATTTAACTGTCATTAATTTATTTTTTAAAAGACTTAACTCTCATTTTTCTCGTTTATAAATGGGCAAATGGTTCTTATCGAATCCAAACGACCCACAAAAGAATTTCACAAGAATTGAATGTGCACTAAATGCAGATAGAAAGAGGTCCGTTGCATGATGCCCATACATGGAAGTGTGTGTACTATACAAAGTACAGAATCTGAGGGGCGAACCATGACTCATTGCCAATTCATCTTTCCCAGGAGTAATTACTTATCTCTTTTATTCTCTCCGTATATCTTTAATCAAATAAATTTTATAATCTTATTTTTTAAAAAATAAAATTACAAATTTTTAAAAATGTTAAACAATTTAATGCTTCATTTATTAAAGAATATTAAACAGGAAGAATATATAAAAAAATAGTATTAAAATAATATTATTAATAAAACTTTATTTTTATTAAAATATCTTATATTTTAAAATGTTTATTTTTTTAAAATATCTTATAATTTAAGATGAAGATAGTATATATTATCTCCGTATTATAATATAAGTCAATTTTAATTTAAAGTTTTGATTTTCTAAACATTTTATATGCTTTTAATTGTGCCGTTGAGTGTGATATATAAAATATTTGACTTATTTAAAAATCTTCATTAATTATTCAATAAAGTAATAGTGTAATCAAAAGAAAATATATAACACCTGTTTAATATTTTATATCTTAAATTAAGTAAAATTAAAAAAATGACTTATTGTAATTCAAAGGGAATATATATATATGTATATATATATCCTCTGTGTCCATCCGTGAGCTTTTAAATTTGGAGTCCCTGGAAGAAAGAGGAAGCAAGACGAAGCATTCTAAGACTAGGGGCTTTGTGTCTGTGAGGTGAGTCTCTGTTTTTTCCTCTCAAGTATACTTATAAATCTCATAATTTTAATTGTAATACTAATACTAATACCTGATAGCTTTACCTCTTCATCTCACGAAATGTGAACAAATATGAAATTGGATTTTTTTTTGTGGGTTTTTTTTTTTTTTAAACAAGTGGTTGCGCTAGAATGTAGGATTGAACTCTTAATCAGTCACTAATAAAGGTCGGCAGATGGAGACCGTATGTTTGAGAGTTTACGAGGAAACAAAGGAGTCCTTTAATGAATTATTCTCTCCTTTTCTAAACTTTTTTTTTCCCCTTTAAATATGGGAAGTTGTCAATATTTTTTTTAATAAATGAATCATTATTCTCTTATTATATTAAAAAGAAAAAAAGATATATTTATAAATTTATTTTGGAAAAAAGGATTATTTTTTTGTTTAGAACAATTAAGAGCAGAATGAAAATATTATTATGCTTTTAAGTAGATAATTAATTTTATTGATTTACGTGATGTAATTAAAAAAATTTATATACAGAGATGAAGAGAGTAGAATAGAATAGGAGGGATGAGAATATAATATTTTATTGAGAGAATGAATTTTTATTTAAAGATAATTTTACTTTTAAGTCAATAAACTATAAGACTAAATTGTTTGATTTAAAGTTTGGGATTGAATCAACAATCCAGAAAAATTCTGGAATTAAAAATCATAACGCTCCTGACATTTTTAACTAAATTATGTTTCTAAAAAGTTTCATTAAAAATTTAATTTTTTAAAATTTTTATATCTTTTTAAACGTACTTTTGAATATAATCAATATAATATTTGACTTATTTAAATATACTTTAATCAATTACTCAATAAAAGAAGGGTCTAATTAAAATATATATATATATATATATAACACATACTTAATAACTTATATTTTGAATCAAGTGAATTTTTTTAAAAAAATAACTTATATTGTACTAATATTGAAGGAATATGTTTGCTTTTATGCAATCATTTTAAAACTATTATAAAATATAAAATTAACGATATCTAATTTTGGAATTCTATGCCGCATACATATGAGATTGCCAGTGTTAAGCTCAAACTGAGAGCCCTCAGCGACAATAGAAACCGACAATGATGAGAAGGAGGTTTCAATCCTTATCTTTACCAGACAAAATTCAACTTATCAATTTTTCAACGACAAACTATATATATATATATATATATATTTCCTTATGTTGATTAATTTCAACTTGTCTTTCCTTTTTCTTGTATCATAATCATAAATTGATATATTATATATAAATTTATAAATTCTACTTTCAGTCTCAGCTGTGGTAATTTTTTTCTCGTTTAGAATATGTCAGTATTATCTTTTGAATTTTTTATATTTAGTTCTTTTTTAATTTCTGGATAAATTTTTTTTCTCTTATATATTTTTTCCAAAAAATATTAAAATTATAACCATTTTAAACCATTAAATCAATTTAAAGTATATCCGGGCCCCGCCGGTCATTCAACTAGTTGAACTCAAATTGGGCTTTTCTTCCCAAAGTTCACATGCCAGTCACTATTTTCAGTTTTCAAATATTTATAAACTATACAATTTTTTTGGGACAAAATAAACTATACAATTTATAATAGAGAGAATTGCATTTAGGATCCTTAGAAGATACCACCACGTATTTTTTACAATTAATGGGTTAAAGTATATGTTTGTCGTGAAAGTATTTTTCGAGTAGCTATGAAATCAAACTAAAATTTAAAAGTTTTATAAAAAAGATTAAAAGTAATTAATTGATAAAAAAATTGGGATAGTCCTCAGAAAATGGCGCGAGCGAGCTTTGCTTCCCCATATTTTGCTCATATTGGTTGGAAGAAGAAGCGGTAAAATAGGAAGCAAAAGAACAAAAGACGTTTCATGTCGGGACTCGAAAAAGTTCAGAGTAATGAAATTCAAATGTCTAGGTTTCTGAAGAAAACACACAGCACACACAGTGATCAGTGAGGAAATCGGAGAAGAAGAAGAAGAAGATGGAAGGTGGTCACGGCGGTGCCGACAAGACGGCGTTCACGGAATGCTTCCGGCGATCCATTGCTTCTCCCTACATCATGCGCCTCGCTCTATCTGCCGGAATCGGCGGCCTCCTCTTCGGCTACGACACAGGTACTTCAATTCCCTCCTCCTCCTCTCTCTACAATGCATTCGGGACTAATTCGGATCGAGTCGGTTTTCAAGCTGAACTCCAAACTCTTCTAAAGGCATCTTTCTGGGCAAAACCACCTGTTCTGTTTTCTGGAATCACATTGGACTGTGACCATTTTGCAGAGTTTGGAAACTGAGTTGGATTGATTGTTTTATTATCGTGACTTCTTAAATTGGTTGATATATTGTGAGCTTTATAGATGAATAGAGTGCAGTACTTTTTCAAGTCTCGTCCCTTTCTCTCATTTCTTTCAAATGTGATTTCTGGTTCATGCAAATGTAGGTGTGATTTCTGGAGCTTTGCTGTATATTCGAGAGGAGTTTGAGGAAGTTGACAAGAAAACATGGCTTCAGGTCACTTTATCTTCTTTTTTTCTTTCTTTCTTCCTCTCAAATATGGGGATGCTCTGAAGTCTGAAGGATGAGGGTCCCCACTCAGATGCTTTTTTTCTTTTCCTTTTTTTATTTTTATTTTTTTTAAAGCTTTGAAAGAAAGAGACAAAAATATATAAAAGATTTTAATTTCATGCCAAGAAGGGGAAACTTGTGACCCAAATTTCAGTTTCCGGTGATTGTTACTTGGTGTAAGGTTGCCTTTGAAGCATCTCAGCGTTCTCTCTCTTTTTTCCTTTTCTAGTTAAAAGTGGTCCCCAGCAGGTAATGCGAAACAGCGAAAGGGCAAGCTGTTCGCTCACTTTTTTAGAAAAAATTGCAAGTCAATACAAATCATTAATAGTGTGTTTGTGTGTGTAAATATAAATCTCACAGAAGCAGCTTTTTATCTTGGAAAACACAGCCACAAGAGGTCTGATATCTATTTAACGAGGTAGATAACAAAATTCACCCTAAATTGTAAATTCAAAAGTATATCTTAAACTTATTATTTATATAATATTTCTTTTTAATTAAAAATGATGTAATTTAATTTGTTATTAATAAAAGTTAATTTTAACAGTTAATTGATCAGAAAATAATAAAAAAATTTCAAAAATTATAAAAGAAAGACTGTAAAAAATTCATTGATCCTTTTTTATAATTGTTTGAGCACATATCTATAAGTTTTGAGTTATTTATTATAATTTTTAGAAACCTTTTTTAATTATTTTCTATCAACTAAATGTCAAAAGTTAATTTTTATTAATAAAAAATGTTAAATTATATCATTTTTAAAAGTTAAATAAAAATACCATGCAAAAGATAATTTTAGAGTATCAAACGTTTTTAGACCTATAATTGAAAAGTTAATTTGCGCATTTATTCTTGTTCAAATATTGAGATGAAAGGAAAACATCATTGCATCAATGTGTGTTGAAAAAATTACTCATTCTATTAAAAAAAAGATATTTTTAATCAAATTATACTCATGATAAGTTAATTAATTATTTTTAAACTAATATTTTTTTATATTTTTTATTTAATAAGGCGTTATACTTAAAGGTGGAGTGTTAAGTAGTTTATTTATTAATAGGGTTTTTTAAACATACTCATTAACTATATATTAAAAAACTAAAAATATTTTATATTTTGTAACATTTAACATCATAAAAATGTATTCTATTTTTGAATGGAAGAAGCACATATTGACAATTAAGTCATATTTATAGATTTATAGATTTATATATAATAAAATATTATGTAAATACATTTTAAAAATTATTGTTATTAATTTTCTAGACTAAAAAGACTTTGAGTTTTAAAAATTTACTCTAAAAAATTAAGGAAATTTATATCAAACTTATTTTAAAATTATAATTTATTTGAATATTGACAGTACTTCCTTAAAATTTTATAATAAGATTCTAAAACTCACTAATAACTTTAAATGCTGAGTATAACTACAAGTTTGAAGATTCTTGGACATAATTGTGGGTCCATTGGAAAAGAAATATAATTTTTTTTATTGATTTTAAATCCTTAAAGATAAGAACTAAAATGATTGGTTTTATTAAGGAATATATTATAGAAGTTAATTATCTAGTTACACTTGTTGCAATTATTGTGTTACAAATTTTTAATTATCAATACAGCACAAATGGTCAAGCTTGTTTGTAATGTTTTAAAAACAAAATCTTATAGTTATACATCACTCCTTGGCTAAACCTTTTTTTTTTAAATAAGGGGGTAAATTCTATAGATTTCTTTTCAAAATAATTAAAATTACAATTCTTTATTTTCTTTGAACTTTAAAATTCACAAAAATCTCTCCTACAAACAAAAAGTAAGCAATCAATTTGGTACTAACAGATAGCTAGTTACAAATTTTAAACAATCAACCAACTCGTGTAAAATGCATTGAAACTTAGTTTGCAATAAGATATTTCTTTTCGGGATCAAATGATCATCAATGCCAATATATATTCTGAAAACAAAATCTTTTAATATATTTCAATATTGGTATCCAAGGCTGTGCAACTTTTTAAAAATGCTGATACCTGTGCATTGCAAAAGTTCTTTGCTTGTTACATATATTTATCCATACTGATAGTTATACACTGAATTCAGGAGAACATTGTGAGTATGGCTGTAGCAGCAGCTATAATTGGTGCTGCAGTTGGAGGATGGATGACAGACAAGCTGGGGAGAAGGAAATCAATTCTGATTGCTGATGTTTTGTTCATTGTTGGAGCTATTGTCATGGCGGCTGCTCCGGCTCCGTGGGTCATCATTCTCGGGCGAATCTTTGTCGGTTTGGGTGTTGGAATGGCTTCCATGAATGCTCCCTTGTACATCTCTGAAGCTTCTCCTGCTAAGATCAGAGGAGCCTTAGTTTGCATTAATGGTTTCCTCATCACTGGTGGCCAGTTCCTCTCATACCTCATCAACTTGGCTTTCGCTAAGGTATATGCTTCAACCTACTTATCTTTTTGGTATACTAACTTTCAAATGTAACACTTAACTTTGTTACATTATTACAAAATGGTAATATATATATATATATATTATGTGTAAGTTAATATTAATAGCTTGTTCACATTATTGTCACATGATACAACAACAAGCATTATCTTATTGTGGAGTCAGCTACATGAATTGTACAGCATCATTGTTTTCTATCAACAACCAAGCCTTTAGATATATTGTCAACTGAAAGGTGTCAATATACTCATACATGCTACTATAACTTTATGCTCTTGTTGTCTCTTAAAGCATTGTCACATGATACTTTAAGATATTACACAATAATAAATCCATTACTTGTAGATGTTAGTTCACAGTAATATGTAACTTTTGTTCTTTGTATGATAGTTTAGGGTAGTAAAATGAAACAAGTTTCCAAAGTTGATGGGGCAAAATAATAAATAGACAAAGCTGAAATCAGTGTTCCTCCCTTGGGATATTTGCACAGTGTCCATCACTTTCATTTGAACTATTAAGATCAAATTCAGACCCTCTAAACCGTGTTTATTTTGGTTCAATTTTTAATACTTGGAATGGTTCACATCAAGTTTGATCAGTTTTGGAGGTAAATACCAAATGAACTCAGAATTAGACTACATTTTGAGAGACTATAGTGAAAGCTTAAAGCTTTAGAATAACTCGTGTTTATAGGGCTAAGTTTTATCTATTCAATTTGACTTGGTTCAGACATCTTGGACATGGCGTGGTATGCTTGGAGTGGCTGCAATTCCAGCTTGTTTTCAGTTCATTTTGATGTGTTTCCTTCCTGAGTCACCAAGATGGCTCTTCAGAGAGGTAATGCATAATTAATTTTTTCTATATCTGATTAATCAAATTCTGTGTAGGTTTTGATGCTTATAAACTGCTCTGATAGTTATTTTTCTCTCTCTTCTTTTAGGACTTTTCTCCTTTAGATAGCATTGTTTCTGATATCATGCATGAACATGAGAATGAATCACTCTGGCAAATGACTGGCTCTCATGAAGATTCTTTACAAATAGTTCCATGCTCTCTGTTTCTCTTCGTGGATTTCTATTTTATAAAAATGTTTTATTATAACCTCTCATGAAGAATAGAAGGGATTTGAAATTACAAAGAAGTTAAAATAAAATATGGATTTGGATCACCAAAGACTTTGCATCCAAATTGAGACGTGGTTGAAATCCAAATTCAAATTCTCATGCATCCAAATGTACCCTAAAGAAATTCATAGTTTCATTTTAAGCAGGGAAAAGAAGATGAAGCTAGGAAAATCCTAACAAAAGTTTACCCCCCTGGTGAGGTTGAAGATGAGATGAGTGCTATGCAAGAATCTGTAAGAGCAGAGAAGGAAATGGAAGCCTCAATGGGGAATCATTTCACAGAAAAATTGAAGAGAGCATTGTCAACCCCGGCGATTCGAAGAGCTTTGTATGCAGGCATTGCAGTTCAAGTAGTTCAGCAGTTCGTAGGCATCAACACAGTCATGTATTACAGCCCGACCATCGTTCAATTCGCTGGAATCGCTTCCAACTCAACGGCTCTTGCACTTTCTCTGGTCACTTCTGGGCTCAACGTGGCTGGCACCATCATAAGCATGCTTTTGATTGATCGATTCGGGAGGCGAAAATTGATGCTTGTCTCCACTGTTGGAATCATTGTGTGTCTTGTGATTCTTAGTGGTACATTCTTTCAAGCTGCTAAGCATGCTCCTGGTATAAGCAACATGGACACTCTGAGCTTTGGAGGGAATTCTTCATGCCCGGCCTATACAAAGGCCTCAGATACTTCTTCATGGAACTGCATGACTTGTTTGAAAGTACAATGTGCCTACTGTGCTCATGGTGATGATGAAGTAAGTACTTTTTTTTTATTTGTTTTCCTTCTTTACATATAACATGTTTTTGATGTATGTTTGACCCTTTTCTAGGTACATGTAAAATCCTTAATAAGATTACGCAGTCAAATTACCCCACCAGAAGTAACTGGTTTGTTCCCTCTTTAGTAAGCTTACTGTGTAGGAAACATGATCATTGTCACGGAAAAAGAAGAAGAAGAAGAAGAAGAAGCTAATTTTCTATTATGTAACTGATTTTTCAAGAAAACTTTTAAATTAGCTTAGCCAATTATAACAATCATAAGCATGTTGCATATATTATTACTTCAAATAACCTTTGAGATCTATGATTTATATTCATAATTAATTTGATTTATCTATCATTTATTGTTGGATTTACTTAAAATCTCCTTTTTCCTTTCTTTGTCCAAAATATAGGCATTGGATAGTTGTTAGAATTTTTTTCAAATATACCCTTATTTCATTTATTATTCATATTGAAAAGGTAATGCATTAAAATTCCAATTATTAAGGCACTTTTACGGCCATTTAATGAGGGTATAACTAGAAATATGCTATAATTTTTTTTCAAGGTTTCAACCCACTTTTTTTCGAAAACCACAAAATTGTTACCAATCTTATATTATTTATAGACCGGAGGGAGTATTTTCTTATGTTACACTCTTTTTCTAAATGCAACATTTTCTTGTTTTTATCTTTAATGCTCCGTCTACATTCATTTTGTAAATGGAGAAGATCCAAAACCATAGGCCAGCGTCTTGATCAGCCAAGAAGTAACCATTTCTCTCGGTCTCCTATATGCAGTTTTTGCCAGGAGCATGTTTGGCATCAGACAAGACTGTCCGAGAAACATGTCGTGGACAGCACCGAGTCTGGTTTTCCGAGGGCTGTCCAAGTAGAATCGGTATCCTGGCTGTTCTAATCTTGGGATTGTACATCCTTGCATATGCTCCTGGGATGGGAACAGTGCCTTGGGTTCTGAACTCTGAGATATATCCATTGAGATTCAGAGGAGCAGGAGGAGGCATAGCTGCAGTTGCAAACTGGGCTGCAAATCTCATCGTGAGTCAATCATTCTTGAGCATGATCGAGGCGCTCGGCTCAGCCGGCACATTCCTCTTGTTTGCTGGATTCTCTTTTGTTGGACTTGTGGTTATGTACCTCTTAGTGCCTGAAACCAAAGGTCTTCAGTTTGAGGAGGTTGAGGAATTGCTTACCAACGGATTCAGACCATTCCCATTTGACAGGAAGAAGAAGAATGAGAATGGTAAGTTAGGTGATAAGGCCTCTCCTTGATGATGATGCCACAGTTTTGGCTCTTACCTTCCAAAACAAGTAAATAAGCAATGAATGTTTGTATTATTTTGGTTCTAATTATTTCTGGTGTTGGAGCCAAACTAATTTGTAGGACTGTCTAATGTTTGTGGATAACAGTTTGTAAAATTTATTAAGAAGTTTGATAGAATATTCTGAATCATGTAGAATGTTGTAAGGAGTACTAGAGCATGATATAACTCAAGGTTGCCTGAATTTTATTCTCAAATTAGTTCTCGTTTTTTGTGTTTCTTAAGGAAACTTTGTTTTAAAAATGTTTTTTGCCCTATTTTAAAATTTCAAGAGAATGAGAACATGTTATAGCAATAGCACTTTCATTCATCAATCTTACCTGAGCGAAGAATGCTGGATCTAGATCGTAATGAATAATTCTCTAGTGGCAACCAGAAAGTAATGCAAGTCACTAATAAGTTCGGTCGTGGAAACAGATTTAAAATTATGTGCAAGATATTTCTTGCTACATTACTGTAAGCGAGTTGTGGGTCTGATGGCTGTTGTATCTTAGAGTAGTGTGTAAATAAAAGAATATAATGATGAGTTTTGTAGAGTATATTGATACATGCTTCCCCTTTAGAGTTCGATGGGCATTGTATGAACAACGCTGCCTTGTGATGTGCTTATTTTAGGTGCATGGAAGATTTCAAATTTCATGTATGTTTCTTGACTTGTTATTCTTCCAATCATGCTGAAAGTCACATCCTTTATACTTCTTGGGTGAATTACTGCTTTTTTGAAGCATTGTATCTCGAGTGCTAAGAAGGCAAAGGGTTGGAGATGTAAGATCAATGTAGTTGGTGACCCCACGAATGTGACTTATAATGTGACGCATAAAGAAATTTTCAATAATCTAATTAATATTATTATTAAGGGTGTTCACAATCACCAAAAGAAATAAAACAACTTCAATAAAAATTGATGAAAGCCAATTATTTGTAAGATTTGATTTTGCTTTAGAAATTTCAAAACCAAATAGTTTAGTTCAAGTTTTAATTTTTTGATTTTGAAACCTAAATCACACCTTTTATTTTTTTAAATAATATTTTATTAGTTGTTTACTTTCTAACTTTAATTTTAACTAAACCCCAGCTTAAAATGTGTTGGATTACTTTGTTTTGATGATAATAAATCCTTTAGAAGGATTGTTTTGGAGGGCATATTGAGAGAATAATAACCAAAAATAAAAAAGAAATCAAACTAGAGATACTCAAGAAGATTTGGAACAATATGATTTTATTTTTAATTCATAGAATTAAATTGTAAAGAGTCGTTGAAAGCTTGATTTCAAAAAGAAAATAGTTTCTATAATGTTTTTTGAAAGGTTAAAGTTAAAACAAATTATCTTCACATGTTTTAGAAAGCATAAAATTGCTTTTTCACATGCATGACTTTCAGTTAACAAGCTATCCACCTAAATAGCACGTTATTCGCTTTGAACATGATTTAGTTTTTGTTTTGAGTTTCTAATGATAAGCTTGCTATATCCTTCATTTAACTTTGTTATTTATTCACAAAACTAAGTTTTCCTCTTGAGCTCACTAAATCACATGCTAGTCACTCTATCTTGTGTGCCATCCATAGAATTTCAGTAAGTTGTATCCGAACTCTTGCATAACGTGTTAGATTATCTTCTTAGCACATTATCTGAGTTTCATTGGGTCATTTTTGTAACACTCTACTTTTGATCTTGCTTTCTCCATTACACTCAGTTTTTCTGAAAAACTTCTTAAATTAAAGTTGAAAAAATTCATAAACACTCAATCCACCCTTAGCTTTTCTTGGTGTTGTGTGCTAGTTCTTTCAAAATTCTTCAGAAATTCAAAATCAAAAATACCCACTCACACCTTCCAAAATTCTTGAAGATACGTTGAAGACTTTTAAAGAAATGTGGATAATAATTGAAGTTATTTGCAATTTTTTTCTTCTTTAAGATATGCTTAAAATTTCTGACGAAGTGTGGAAGATTATTAAAAAGACATTGACCAATTTTTCCTAAATGTTTTCCAATTGTTTTGGGATTTCTGTTTTAAAATTGGAATTGATTTAAGAAGTCAAAAAGGTATGACATAAATGGCAAAATGGTCCCGTTTCTCTTTAATAGCATATATCATAATGTCCAAATTATATTGTTGATGAAAGCTACTAGATGAATGATCTTTGAACCCTGTGGTGATCTAATATTAATTTTTGTTGCCTTGTTCTTCTATCCATCTACATAATTTTTTAAACAATTTTCTAATGTCTAAGGACTAATAATTAATTAAACATACCTAATAACGTATCACAATTAACAAACTTACCCACGTGTACACTCTAGAGGCAATATTTAGAACCATTTTAATTTTTTTAAAAAAATAAAATATTGAATTAGGCTACGCAATTGGTTAGACTTTTTCATGCTGGAAAATAGGATTATAGAAATGGATTTGACAAAAAACCATTTGGGAGAGTTGTGAAGGGGTAATATAGTTTGGGAAAATACAATCCCTATAATTTCATCAAATTTTGCTTTTAATCATTATAGTTTTTGTCATTATTTTCAATTATATAGTTTCAGTAAGATTGAATAATATTTGTTTTTAAGTGACAATATTAAATTACAGGAATTATAAGATCTAAAAACAGCAAAAAAAATTATAAAAACTAAAAGTAAAATTCAATAAAATTTTGTGAACTAATGATTGTGCTCCTTATAGTTTAATTTAAATATATAAAAATATTCATATACAAAAAGAAAAAGAGTAATAATTAAATAAAAAGAAGTAATCCACGAGTAAACGGAACATTAATCATGTATAAACCACACATGATCCAACAAAACAGAGTTGCTTATTAGATTGTTATTTAACATTGTTAATATGGACTGCATTAGCCATGGACTGATTCACCGAATCATTTGTCTATTCAACAAACCTGAGTTGAGTTTTAATTCCATGTTAATAAAAATGCAACGTCCTAAGCGACAAGCGGTGATGCTGACATGGCATGTGGGAGCATTAGAGATTTTTTTTTTTTAGTTTTTTCCCACAAAAGAAAAGAATAATTTTCCATCATAATTGAATGAGTTATAGAGAATGATTCATCATAGAGCAAAAATTAGAGAAATATGCTGTGATACTGTTCTTAATTCTGATTATGAGGAAAAGAGACTTAAATCAAGATAGAGAATTCTTTGAATTTGAATTATTTAATTAATTGCGTATCCAACGGAAAGGAGAAACTGAATTTAAAATTTAAAACTCCGAAAAAAATCCTCTCTTTCTGGTAATTCTTATAAAAATATGCTTATGACTTTCTCCTGCTACGCATAAAATGTTTCGGAGCAATTCAAACTTTAAACCAATCTGTTATTTTATTTTGTACACTTTCATACTCGCAGAGATTTGAATGATTAAAATTTAAAATATTGACGTAAATTTGGCTAAAAATTATTGGAGCAAATTCATGAGTCTACAGTCAGAATCATACATAGTCAATTATTGCTTTGGTATGATTGCCGTACAACGTGCGATATGTAGACTTGAGGAGCAAAGAAATCGTTCAATAGAGTGATGGATTACAAAGTCAACCACTCAATTGCCTAATTTAGGCCAAATATCGTTTTACTTGGTCTTTTGACCAATGTTCTCAAAAGAAAATTATGTTTTTTTAACGATATTCCTTCCATTTTAAATTATAAAAAATTAATCTAAAACCAAGTATATTAATAAAGTGTGCTAATAATACTTTATAGACTTACTTTTCAAAATAAAATTTTAAAATTTTAAAAATATCTCAACATATTTAATAATTACATGATAATATAATTTCAATTCTTTTTCTATTTGAAGGATACTATTAAAAAAATATCATTAGCGAAACCTTAATTTTTTTAAATTATCTTATATTTTGACAAAATGAAATACCTCCACAAATGTCTCATATTTTAGAATGGAGAAAATACAATTCAAGGTTTTAAAAATCAAATTAATTATTGAATTAAGGAAGACAATGATTTAAGGATTAAAGGTGGACAATAACCAAATTGGTTAAAATTAATTTGATATATTTTCAAACATGAAAGGGCAATTTGATCCCTAATTTATAGGTTTATGAGCATATGAGATCCTAAACTTATTTTTGGTACAATGCTTCTTCTCAATTTTTGAAAACAAAGTAATCCAGCATTAACAAAGTAAATTTTGATTGTTAGTTAAACAAAAAATGATAGAAAAAGATCAAGAAATAATAAAAGGTTAAAAAAATTATAGAAAATTAACTTTTGTTAATGGTAGGGGGTTACATTAAACTTTTTCTAAAGTTAAAAGAAAACATTACATAAAAGATAAGTCTAAGGTCTAAGATGCTCCTAGCCTTATAGTTTAGATGTCAGATTGCTGTTTACATTTAACGCTATTGTTAATTTAGGGGAATGTTATTAAATTACCAAAATATTTAATTAAATTTAAACAAGAACTAAAATATTTGAAAATTCAAAATAAGGATCAAAGATCCTTCAATAATTTGGTATAAAAGTTTGACACTCTCATTCCATGACTTACAACCATTAAAATAATAATTTGCAAGTAAAATTCACTAATTTATAAAAAAAAACTTGTCAAATATATTACCATTTTCAGTGATTTAGTATTCACATACTTTTATTTTCAATTCTCAAAACATGAATTTACAAGTAATATTTGCTAATTTATGAAGGAAAATGATTTCTAAATAATGGTATATTTAACAAGTTTTTTTTAATAAATTAGAAAATCTCACTTGTAGGCATTTGTTGGGAGTTATAAGTTTGCACATTTTTGTTTAATTCAATCTTTTGATCCTTTAAAATCAGTCTCCCTTGTTAAAATTTAAAAAAAAAATAAGATACTTAAAAAATATAGAAGACTCAATTTTTTTAAGAAAATATATGGGTCTTAAAGTTTAAAACTGAAAATTAAAATACATTTTCAAGATTATTTTAAGATATCTTACATATTAAAAATGATGGGAATACAATAATATGGATCTTTTTAATTTTTTAAAAAAATATTTATAACAATGTACTCAAATATACATACTGTCTCCTAATACACGATGAACAAAGTTTTAAAGGATTAGTTAATATTTAACATGTATTATATATAAACAAAAGTAGAAGATATTTGGCTGGGTAAATAAGATGATGAGTGATTAAAAAAATAATTGTAAAAGATTAAAAT